CTCTCTGTATGTGTGTATATATATCTCCTCAATATATGTTTCACTCTGTATGCATCCGAAGAAGTGGGTTGTAGCCCACGAAAGCTTATGCTCTAAAAATTTGTTAGTCTCGGAGGAGAAATAGTAATAGATGTACTCACCAAGATCTGCAACAAGATCTGGCAGACCAGTGAGTGGCCCTCCACGTGGACACAGTCACTAATCATCACTCTGCCAAAGAAAGGCAACCTGCAATTGTGTCAAAATTACCGAACTATAAGCTTAATTAGCCATCCCAGCAAAGTGATGTTGAAAGTCATATTGAACAGATTGAAACCACAAGCAGTGAGTATCATCGCTGAAGAACAGCCTGGCTTTCATGCTGGAAGAAGTACCAAAGAACAGATTTTCAACCTTCATGTTCTGTGTCAGAAGTACTTACAATACCAGCAGGACATCTACCATGTCTTTGTTGACTTCAAGAAGGCATTTGACAGAGTATGGCTCAAAGCTCTCTGGGGAACCATGAAGTACAATATTGGTTGTAAGCTTATTCTTACCATTAAACAACTGGAGGCCAAGGCCAGCAGTGCAGTTCTTGTCAATGGCATAATAGGAGACTGATTTCACACCACTGTTGGAATCTAGTAAGGCTGCCTTCTTTTGCCCACACTGTTCAACATCTACTTGGAGCGCATAATGACTGATGCCCTAGAAGTTCACATATCCACAGTCAGAATTGGGGGGCGATCAATCTCAAACTTTTGATTCGCTGTTGACATTGACGGCCTGGCAGGCAGCAAAGATGAACTTGCCAACCTTGTGAAATGATTGGATGAAACCTCTGCAAAATATGGCATGGAAATCAGTGCAGATAAAACCAAGCTGATGACAAATACATGTGATGGGATCAGCTCACCTATCACTGTCAGTGGACAAGAGCTGGAGACAGTGAAACAGTTGAAGTATTTGGGGGCAATCATCACTGATGAAGGATCCAAGGCAGAAATTCTGGCAAGAACTGCGCAAACAACAGCAGCAGCAGTGGCAACGCTAAAGCCAATTTGGAGGAATAAGAACATCTCCCTGGAATCCAAACTGAAACTGCTGCACCATTTGTCATCTCCATTTTTCTGTATGCGTGCGAGACATGGACCCTTACGTCAGAACTTGAATGGAAAATACAGGTAGTAGAGATGAGATACTTTTGTAAAATCCTACTTCGACCATGTCGCTAATGAAGAGGTCTGCAACATCATCACCCAATGCGCTGGGTCATATGGAGTCCTCCTGACGACTGTGAAAAAGCACAAACTGAAGTGATTCAGCCATGTAACAAGATCATCTGGCCTATCCAAGATCATCCTCCAAAGGACAGTACAGGAGAAGAGAAGAAGAGGTAGACAGAAGAAGAGATGGATTGACAACATAAAAGAATGGACAGGAATGGACTTCGCGGAGACTCAAGCACTGACAAACAATCATCAGGGGTGGAGACAATTGGTTGATTGCTCATCAGTGATGGTGCCCCAATGACCAATGTGGTTATGGGAGTGATGATGATGATGATGATGAATTTTGGAGTGCTTTTACTTGCATCCTTAATAATGTTCTTTTAATGTAGGTTTTTGTCTGTCATTAATATTGGTGGGGCTTATAACATTGCCTATTATTAAGATTGCCCCCCGCACATCCAGTTCTAATTTCCTCTCCCAACAGCTCCAAGAGCTAGTCTTCTTGCTCAGGAATCCCAGTCACCGCTGAACCCTAACTTCCAGTCTCAGTTTTCCTCTCCCCTGCCATGAGCCTTTAGTCTGAGTCTGCTGCCCCCTTACAAGATCCTTGTCCACATCTATTCTGCCCTGCCACCTCCCACCCATAGGTTTGGCTCTCATCCAGGGGCATAGACCTGGGTAGGCCTGAGTGGCTGCAGCCCACACACTTACAATCCAGGCCCTCCCAAATTGGGGCCGGAGCCCCCCGAATCTACAGGCTGGGACTCCCGACCCTGGCTCAGTGTCTTTCAGCCTGGCCGCGTCTCCATCCTGCCGGCACTGCGTGCTGCTGCCCTGGTCTCTGGCCCCAGCACTAGCCCCGCGGGGGTTGCGCCTCAAGGGGGCAGGTCTGGGTGGGGCTATCATTGAGCACTGGGACCAGAGACCAGGGCAGCAGCGCACGGCACAGGCAGGAGGGGCACAAGGCCAGTCTGACAGACACTGAGACGGGTTTGGGAGGGGTGGCCAGAGCTCAAGCCCCATTGGTACCCCTGTCTACCCCATGGGCGCTCCCCACAACTTGTCTGCCCCGGGAGCCTGCTGAGCAGTAAGTGGGGGTGGGGGGGAGTGGGCCTCCATCCCTCCTTCCTCCCTCACCCCATTCCCCAGGGCACCTGCATCCCCGATCCTTCCTGACTCACCCCTCACCAGGGCCTCCATCCGTCCTGTCCCCCTCCCCTCATCCCTCGTCATTGCCCGCCTACCCGAAAGCTGGGGCCCACCCAGTTTTCCTGTCCTAGCTACACCACTGCTCTCATCCCATCTGAATTTGAATCAGGCAGCTTCCTCCTCCAGGCTGCTTGGGCCCAGCAGATGGGGCATTGAGAGCACAGGAGAGACAAGCTCTCTGCTCTCAGTTTTAGTGTCCAGACCTTGCACAGCCTGCAGTAGTCTAGAGCTGCAATTGCACAGGGCTGGAGCTTGCTCAGTGTGGAAAGAATCTTTGGGGACTTTAGCTGCTAAAATCTAAGAACTCTCAACTGAACCTGTGCAAACTGCAGTTTTTCAAAAGGCTTATAAATTGGCCAAATTTGAGTGGATTTTCATGAGGACAGCAAAAGGCAAATCTGACACAAAGGCTACCCCACCTGCCAAATGTCAGGTCCCTGCACTAAAGCATCGGCGCTCTATAGTATTTCAAATAAAAGGTCTCAATATTTTTTTAAGCAGCTCAAACAATGAATTCTTTGCTAGCCTTGTTCTCAGAAATGGCACAACACTTCAGCTTTAGGTAAACATTGGACATGAAAAATTTCAGCATAAACAGTTAAAGTCTGGTAAAGTTAGAAGCAACTGAAAGCAGAGTCTTAGAATAAGAAGTGTTGGGCAACCTCAAGAATGGGCTGTACCATCAGCCCCACCTATAATATAATAATAATTATCATTCATCTTACTGTATTTACAGCTTCTATTATGGCACCCAGTGATCTGCACATTGCTAAGCATGACTTTGGAGTTATTCTATCCTGGAACAGTAACATTACAGAAGAAATGAAGACATATTATGTGAAGTATGTCTTGATGTATAAGTTCGATACAGCTCAGGAAAAAATAGTAAGTCACAACACACTTTACACATAGTTTTAGTAAAATAAGATAATGCCTTATTTAATGTCTGTAGTTTGCAGAGCTTTCTTTTAATAATAATAATATTAATTGGCTATTGCATAGAACTCTTCATTATAATGCAGTTCTATGTTTTCTTCTTCCAGGAAAGACTTCAAGAAAAGGAAAAGATGATAAGACTTGGGTTACACTCTGGTTTCCATGCTAAAGTTAAAACCCAGCTTCTTTCAAAAGAAACAGAAGACCTTATAAAGGAGAGTAACTGGACTGAATTTACTTACAAGGCACCTCCAGGTCAGCTAGTTTTCTGCATAGTGATAGGATATTAAAAATGTCTGATAAAAAAGTTAGAGATGCACCAGTTCTGAAGTCCTGACTAATAGCTCTTTATTGTGCTGACTATTTTTTGGTATGCGTTTCTGTAAAACACTAAGGGAGGATAATGATAGAGGTCTATAAAATCATGACTGGTGTAAATAAGGAAGTGTTATTCACCCCTTCACATATCATAAGAACCAGCAGTCACCCAATGAAATGAATAGGCAGCAGGTTTAAAACAAACAAAAGGAATCACTTCTTCATACGACACAGTCAACCTGTGGAATTCATTGCCAGGGGATGTTGTGAAGGCCAAAAATATAACTGGGTTAATAAAAAAATTAGATAAGTTCATAGAGGATAGGTTCATCAATGGCTAATAGCCAAGATAGTCAGGGACACAACCCCATGCTATAGGCATAATGGGAGAGATGGGTGGAAGCATGCTACAGTTACAAAATTACCACCTCTGCTCTATTGACTCAGACACAGAAGCACTCCATGATCCTCTTGGACTTCCCTAGCAACTGAATGGATTATGGAAGTCCCATAGCACATGGTTGCTGGGGAATCCCAGGAGGGCTCCTTAAAATACGTACTGGAATAGGAATTATTGAGTGTTTCTGCAAATGTCTCAAAAGGGACCTCTGGCAATAGGAATAGAAATGTTCCCAATGCCCTATAAGGCAAAGGCAGACACATCCTTTAACCCAATTCTAGAGAATTGGATCCCTCTCTCCCTCTCCTGTGTCTCTCCTGGATTTGTACTGGCACCAATCACTTCAAGAATCAATGTAAAACAAGCAACATGCTAATATCCTTCTCTTTTCTTTCTTTCTTCCTTTCTTTATTTTTTGGTTGCAGTATATATCCAAAATTTCTCATGCATCATATATAACATTTCCAATTTAAATTGTACCTGGGACATTAAAACAGAAGCTCCTGAGGATGCTCAGTATTTTCTTTCCTACAGGTAAGGATCCTGTTAAAACAAACACAAAATAATATTAAAAAATCATCTGAGTTTTACATTACTTCTATTTGCTTCCTACAGGCACAGTAGAGAAGAGTTCCAATGCCAACTATATTTAACAAATGCAAAGAACAAAAACATTGGATGTCACATGAAAGAAGTATATTTTAATCACGCTAATACTAATAAAATCAGATTTAATATAACTGTAAAGGAACTAAGCAACAGTTCAGAAAACCATTCCTATTACAAAAAATTTACACCTCAAAGACTAGGTAGGTGTTTTCATTATTGCCTAGCATTGTGAAATGTTCAATTGCTTGTGATTTCCTGGAGGGGGGGAAAGCATGACTCACTACATTCAAAGGAGTATATTCTGCTTTTATAATGCATTGACATTTGTAGGAGTTTGACATAAAGATCAAAAATCAAAGAATCTCTTATATAAATCACTTTGTAATTAGGGCTGTTCAAAAATGGTAATGATTGTTTTGTGAAAAAAAATTCAAATGTTTCAAAATCATTTCTGTCCTGCACAATTTGAAAAGTAATGATTTTTAGTTTATTTAGAACATTTCATGAACATTTTTATAGAACATTTTTGGTTTTGAAGCTTTCATTTCTCCTATTTTCTTCCCCTAGCCCCACTTTCTCCCCATTTTAATTCTCTTTATTTCTTTTCCCCCCTTTTTGCCACCACAAAAAGGGGAAATAAAAACAAAAACTTAAAACCAAATCCACAACATTTTCATGTTGGGGTTTAATTTAAAAAGGAAGATTTTAAATTATACTTATTGGCAATATTCATTTTTAAAAATGAATTTTCATTGAAACCTTTTGATGCAAAATGTTTTAGTTGAAGAGTTTCAGTGAGTGCTATTTGTAACTCTGTTGATAATTATGGCTGATCCAATAAGTTTCTTATTCATTTACTTCTATGGATTAAACCCAGGGAAGAGGGGGAAAGCTTCTCATAAAAGGTCTGGGTAGTTTCCTGGTTGGTTCTCGTTCACATCTCAGTTACAATAAATACGTAGCCACCTTTTACATTATGAACCTAACGGGTTGTATTCAAACCTCAGTTACACTGCCATAAATCTGGAATAACTCTAGATGATCTGATGGTCCCTCTAGAGGCCTTAAACTCTATGAATTTATTAACTCAATTGATAACCAAGCAACAGAATTATTGGTACAGGCACTCCAGATTTACACCACTGTAACTTATTTCAGAAGATGGCCCACCACGTTTACTCTCATCTACACTCTGACCCCGATTCTGAATTCATTTACACTGATTTACATCACTGGGATTTACTGGCATCACCTCAGATTTACACTGTAACTGAGATCATTATGTGGAACTTTGAACTTATTTCTGGTGTGAACTCTTTGTTCAGACCCTAGGAAAACTTGTGCAGCAATACATTTTGGTTTAGCTTTAAGCTACACTAGACTATTGTGATTACCTAACCAAAATGTGAACAGCATACTTTACTTTGACTGAAACTGCCAAACAGAAGCTGCAGTCTGCAGGTATGCTGCATTCCATTCACATGCCGAAAGAACATGAAATATTCTGTTTTTGTTTATTGCCAGAGAAACTGAACCCTCCAATCAATGTGTCTATATCACTTGAAAAGAGAAGCATTAAAATTAACTGGAAACCACCACCTACTATTGGTTCAGCAAAAAAAAATTGCTTTACATACCAAGTGAAAATTACAGATCTAGAGGTAATATATGGTAATATTTCTTAACCAATATAACCTCAGCTCTATACCAATTAATTCCCCGCTCAGGTTAAACAGAATCAAGTCTTGGTTGAACTTCTGAGAAATCCCAAGCCCTGCAGCAAATGACCTAGCATTTACCTTCTTTCTTCTCAGTGGAGCTAGTCAAAAAGTGAAAACTTATTTTCATGAAGATATAGAAAGTTTTCTTCATTTTGAAAGGAACCAGGTTTTCATTTGTTTTGTTTTCTTTTTTACTGAAAACACTATACAATGATTACTGACATTTTTCATTTACTAAACAGCAGATTTTTTGGTAAAAGAAAAATGTTGATAACCATCTCAATATTTTCAATTTTAAAAATATAGGCATTCATTATTTTGTGAAAAATGAAAAAAAAAATCAACAATACTGACAAATTTCCATGAGAAATGTTGATTGAAAAGACCAGTTTGACTCTGAATCTTTGTGTTGAGAAATGTTGAGCAGTTCTACTTCTGAGTCATTGCTGATCAAAACTTCCTTAGCAAATACTGGGGTGCTAGAGAGGCTGTCTTTGAGATGAGATATTAAAATGAAGACTCACTTGTCATTTAAGAGCTTGTGATATGTTTTGCAAGAGGATGGGTATGTCCTGGTCAAATTAAAGATTTGCTATTTTACTATACTCCTTTCCTAAATTTCTTCTACAGTTTCAGTATCTCTGAAGTAACTGATCTCCATAGGCATTGGCATGGGCATTTTGAGTGCTTGAGTGTATGAGGGGTGTTATATGCATGCAAATGTTGTCATAATTGCATTATTTAGTTGAAATTGTGAAAGAATACATATCCTAAGCTCTAGGCCTTATGCATATCTTCCCTTAAGAATGTCTGCTAAATGTGTTTTTGTAGTTCTTGCTACAGTTTTAAATTCATATACATATAGATATGCTTTGAAACAAAAGACACTGGAAGCTAAAAACAGAGAAAGGCCTCCACAATTCATGCTTGCAAAGCTAAGTGTAGACAGAACTCCAGGTGCACAGGAAGCAAGTTGTGGGAATTCTGAATTTTGTCTGTGCTCAGAATAGAGAGAGCACCCTGCACTGAGCTACTGATGAGCTGGGTCCAATCTAAGCTAAAACCTAGGACTACAATAACATTGGAAAACTCTGGACAATGGACTGGAGTATTTTTGAACACCAAGAAGGAAACATCCCTACTCAGAAAAGCACTTAAAGATGTGTTTAGGTGCTTTCTTGAATCGGGGCCTTAAAGCACAAGGCATTTGGAAACATCCCTACTCAGAAAAGTTTTATTGTTGCATTTTAACAGGAAATTAATTGAACATAAAAATTTCAGCATGAATTTAATTAAGACTTGCCAACTTTCCATCAGATATTTTTCTCCCCTCAAAATAAAAATGTATTGGAAAAATAAAACTAGATATGTAGTTCACTCTCAAAATATAGATTTAGGCCCCAGTCCTGCAAAGA